CATTTTTGTTTTCTTTTTTTTTGTTTATTTTTTTTTTTTTTTTTTTTTTTTTTGAAGATTAACAGCTGTCACAAACCATTGAATGGAAAACACCTGTGTGAATATCTTCATTTTTGTTCCACAGAAGAAAGAAAGTCATACAGGTTTGAAACACCATGAGGGTGAGTAAATCATGATTTGCTCTTTAATATGCATGTATATACGTACTTTTCTATCCTTTTGTACATATTCCAACTACACATAAAGTCAACAAACCTCCACAAGATGGCGGTGATTCCAAAATGTTCACTTCATGAAGACGAAGAGAATGTCCTCTCTTTCTACTAAGTATCCAAAGCAGGTTTAATGTCATTTTCCATTACATAAAACCCCTTTTCTGCATGAACTACACGCATGTCCAGTTAATTAACCCATAGGTTCATGTTTGGTGCTCTTTTGCTGGGTGAAAAGCCCACTGACCATCTGTTATTCAAGCTGTGTGAAAGTGATTGAATAATTCATGCCAGAGTGCTCAGTTTGCTGTCTGGGGAGGGATTGTGAGGATCAGAGGGCGGTCCACTCATTTTTCTTTGTGTATATGTGTGTGTATGAAGGTAGGGAGTGTATTAATGTTACCACTTGTGACTTTACTGTCCTCACATATGCGTTATAAACAAGAGACGATGAAGTGATATTTATATAACAACGTATGGTTTGATAATCATTTTAATAATTGTGGAAACAGGTGAATCCATACATTTGGCTACAACAAGATTGAGTGGCATTGAGCTAATGTTTCTCTTCCTATATTCAGCGAGAATATATTTAATATACAACATTTGTCTGCAGCTGCTGAACTCTGAATTCTGCCCTGTCTTCAGTTCAGTCCATTTCAACAGTATAATAACACTCTTTTACACACACTTACACTTTCGCCCTCTTCAACAGATTTCATTTTCTTCTTTTTTTATTATTACCACTTTATTTCTACTTCCTTTCATCTTGTTGATGTTTGTTCTGTGGTACTTCAGGGAGGCAACAAGCCCTGTGTCAGATAATAGCTCAATATTCTCCAGGAGGTTTTGCTGTATGGCTGAAAGCTCTACTGAATGTCTTTGTGTCTGTTTGGCTGAAGGGCATCAGGTCTTGTGTTTGTGTGGACTGGGATGCACCGCAGCGAGAGGCAGGTGAAAATCATTCAGTTTAACATGCAGTCTGGTTTGACCTGAGGCTATTTCTTTGTTGTTGGTGGTGTTTTAATAAAAAAGAAAGCCCTTATGTTACTTCATTGACAGTCATAAGCGATTAAAAACACATTCAATTTGGTATTCCATGTGGAAAATAAATGTAGTATAAATTTGTATATTATATAGTATATTTTCTTATATAGGCCTAAAGTTTGGCTCAGTAAGTGATATTTATTTAGGTTTTTTTGTTGTTGTCAAATTAATACTTTTTTAAAGCAAGGATGCATTAATTTGATCAGAAGTGACAGTTGCATAGTGATTAAAAAATGCATAATGATTTCCACAAAAATATTAAGCAGCACAACTGTTTTCAACATTGATAATAATAAGAAATGTTTCTTGAGCAGCAAATCAGCATATTAGAATGATTTCTGAAGAACCATGTGACACTGAAGACTAGAGTAATGATGCTGCAAATTCACAAGAATACATTAGATTTTTAAAATACATTAAAATAGAAAACATTTAAAATTGTAATAATATTTCACAGTATTACTGTTTTTACTGTATTTTTGATCAAGTAAATGCAGCCTTGGTGAGCACAAGAGACTTCTTTCAAAAACCTTATATATAATCTTATGTTATACAGAAAAAATTGACATTTATTTTAAATGTCTAGTTCGTCCATAAAATTATTTTAACATTAAAAATGTGTAAATCATCCTTTTAGCGATAAGACTACTGTTCCAGATGGATAAAAGCTGTAGCCCTATTAATTCACAAAGAATAAAGCATAATGTGTTTTAAAAGCATAAATATGTGTGTGTGTGTGTGTGTGTGCATATTTATCTTTTTAGCTTTTAAATGTTTTATACCATTAAATGGGCCACTTTTCTATCTCCTTCAGTAATATGAGGTATATGGCAGTAACATAGATTTCTACAACTACAAAAGAAAGCAGATGCTTATGACTTAACATCCCTAAAGATTCTTACATATGCATTAATCAGATTAACTGGCTCTGATATTAAGATTTATAGTCTGAAACTAATTATTTACCTTTAGTTCAGTATCCATACACAATGAATTCATTTTGACAAAAATGTCATGGTGCCGTTGTCAGCTTCATGGAGGCCCCTCCACACCCCATATATATCCTCAGGTTGAGCATCCTGTTGAAGCTGTCTGCATAGTTTCGTCTGGCAGGCTGTGGGACACCCAGGGCGGTCTCTAGGGCGTGTGTGTGTCTGTGTGTGTGTTGGCCCAGCTGTCGGCAGCATTTGACCACTGAACATATACGGCACAGAGCTGCTGCCGTTGTTTCTCCTAATAGGCCTTCATTATACACACACTTGTCACACTCCGGGATGCAGACAGGCCTGGGACAGGTGGGAGAATGGAAGGCCCGAAAAGATACAGAGCAGGGAACAAAAGGAGTCATGAGGGATGCGAGAGCATGTACATGCTAAGAATGACAGAGATGGATTAACAGTGAGGAGAAAAGGGCAGAATGATGATAAAATATAAGCTTTTCAGGGGGGAAAAAAACAATTAATAATTTGTTAAAATAGTATAATATGATAAAAATATTGCTCCTAATAAAATGACCAGACTTTGTTGATTAATTTTGAAAAGGATAAATTGTCAATAGATTTTTTTAATACACAGTTTTACTAAATTGTGAAAAGCCCAAATAAAAATTACACAGGAATAACTGGAAATAATAGAGATGGATTAACAGGGTGGAGAAAAGAGCAGAACAATTACAAAAATAGGATATTTCCACCGAGAAAATAAAAATAAAAATGTGTTAATATGATATGATATAATACAACAAAAATTTTAATTTATAAACATAATAATTTTTATATTAAATATTATTAATAATATTTAAAATAAAATGATCAGAACTTTGTGGGCTAATTTTGAATAATAGATTTTTAAAAGACACATGTTTTACCAAATTGTGATGGAAACACAGAAATGGGTTAGCAGGGAGGAGAAAAGGGCAGAACAATGACATTTTTTAGAAGAAAAAACAATAATTTGTTAATATTTTTAATATATTAGAAATAATATTTTTAAAATAAAATGGCCAAACCTTGTGGAGTAATTTTGAGTAGAATAAACTGAATATAATTTTAAAGGACACAGGTTTACGAATTATTCACGGAAAACATTA